TAGCGGCTTTGTACATTGCCCTATTTCTCATGATCACAGGTTCGATTCCTGACATATTACAAAAATTCATAAGTATGATTGTTTGTATTGGTCTGGACGTTTCCTATGTGCATTACATATGGCAGCCAAAAAGGAATTCCAGAACATGTTGAAATTGGATGTCTGCAGACCATCAAATTAGTCCAGAAGCCAGTCCACTGCACTTCCACTAGTGAAAAAGAAAGATGGCGACTAGAGACTGTATGGCCTCTAGTCGTCATTTTCACCGTGATTATTATTTGATTACCGTGAATTATTGAGCAATATATACCGTACCAGACAGATATCTACTACCGAGGTTATTGGATTACTCGTATAGTGCTAGTGGAAGATCCATGTTCTGCAAAATCGACGTCCGGAAGGCATATCATTCCATTTTTTTATTGTTGATAAAGAAATGGTGCACCCGCCTGCGCTAACGGTGTACGCTGGCGGGCACCAGTGGAGGATGATACGATGAACATGAAGTTAGGTCAGTTAGGCTATCGTGACGAATGCACTAGGAATTAACCACGATGGTATCCAGGGGGACCGCGTGGAGGTCGACCTAACATGGTAAATTGTTATCATGGGGGCTACTGTTCCCCATTACTAGCAATCTCTTTCCCCCCCTAACATTCCATTTCAACTGCCGAGATAACCGCTATCAGAACCTAACTCGCAATTAATTAAGGCTAGTAAGACGCACAGAAAATTGTCTACTAAGCACTGCACTAAACGTGTCACCCCACCTTATATTTTCACTACTGTTATACGAGCATCGATATTTTAATATTACTTAGTTCATATTCCTCTGTAGTAGTTACACGTCGTCTCACATCGTATTATTCTGCAACTTATTTTAAAAAATGTATTTATTTATATCAGTTGTTTAGTACCCATAACACAATCTATGCGTATCTTGGCACTGGACAACGCTGTGTGAATTGCCCTGGTTTTAATATTATTATTTAAAAAATACTAACGGCTATATATGCTGTGGTAGATCCCCTTACAACGTATTAAAATTGCTACATATATTCATAATTATTAACTGTATATTTTAAATGAATTGCTGTTTGTTAGTCTTGTTAAAACTCGAGAACGGCTGAATAGACTTGCCTAATTTTAGTCTTAAAATATTCGTGGAAGTCCAGGGAAGGTTTTAATGGTGATAAAATATAAAGAAATTGCATGTAAAATAGTAAAAACAATAATTATATTTTCCCATACAAACTGCTGATAGCTGTCAAACAGGATGCGTTCAGAAATGTATTGCGTAACTAAACTTCAAAACCTTTACAACTAAATTTCAAAACCTTTACATATTTAATTTTGAGGAGAAACGGAATTCGCGGGGTCAGCTTATTACTAGTAAGTGTATGTAGTAATCCGCAGCCATATTTCAATACCACCATACCAATACAATTGCTACGAGAAAATATAAGACTAGTGGCGCCATCTAGCTGTTACAGCGGCTACTTACCAACAGAAAGTGCGAAGGAAAGCACAGCACTGTACACTGCACGCTTTTGACGTATAGCTGGCGGTTGTTCAGAATAATATCAACAGAGGACGCTGTGCCACAGTAACTTCCTTAAATAAAAAATAAAAAAGGAATTATCATTAATTATATTAATTCGGTTTAATAATTATGTTATTAAAAAACAATAAGCAATACAATAATGATAACAAAAACTCATCAACAGATTCAAAAATGGCTAATTATTTTTATTTGATAGTGTAATAGTGTTTGTTACACTATAAAATAAATACGGGTGTTTTTATTAAAACAGCTGTTTAAATAATAGATATATAATTCCAGTTTAACATATATTACAACAACACAGAGAAACAAGGGAGTTTTCTTCTCAACTTTTTTTTATATCTCAACCGTAAACGACCGATTTGTTTTTATTTTTTAAAAATGACTTTGATATCTGAAGATTACAATGACATTGACTTCTAAAATGTATGTTATATTGACGTACATCTTTAGAAGGTAACATTTAACATTACAGATTATATTAATTGAATAAATATCTATTAATAAATAAAAATAAAAAATATATATATATTTAATATATATTTTTTTTATTTTTATTTATTTATTCTTTATATTGCTATATATGTATGTTTTATATACAATAAATTATAATTAACAAAAAATGTTACATTATGTTTTAATATACTTATAATCTTAAGTTAGATTATGTTAATTTTCAACTCTCTCCGTATCAGAAGTGTGTTCTCTGATGCAGATAAACACCTACTTATTTACAATGCCGTGTTCTTTAGTAGATTCAATGTAATGACAATTTATTCATTTATTATTAATGTAAGCTACCTCCATGCAAATTTTCATATAAATCGGTCCAGCCGTTTCGGTTATTAGCCTGTACAAACAGACAAACAGATAGAGAAGCAGTATATTTGAAAAAAATCTAAATATTTTCTATTTCACTTCTAACATCCCTCTGACTCGGTTTTAGGCGTTTTTATTCTTTGTAGAGAAATTCGGCCTCTACTGTTTTTTGTATTTATATTATGTTATGTAACTTGGAGAAGCGATAAAATGTCCCGACTTGAATATTTTACTTTTGACAGCCTCGGCGGTCTAGCGGTTTAGCACACCGCTTCACTTCCGATGGTCGGAAATTCGATTCCTCGTACGACACAAATATTTGTATTCATGAGTATGATTGTTTGTATCGGTCTGGGTGTTTTCTATGTGTAACATGTATGTTTTTAGGAAAAAATATATATCTGTTTTTGTATCAGTTATCGAGTACCCATAACACAAGCTTTAGCTAACTTAACACAGGTCTAGATGGCGCTGTGTGAATTGTCCTGAGATTATTATTATTAGTCTAGGTATTTTGTCATTGCATTATTATAGTGGAGAGAGTCTGTGTCGCTGTACCTACTTGTTTTGTATGTGTCTATAAATCTAGATATTATGAGACAGTCTCCTATTTGTTTTAGGGCTCCGATTAGATGATGTAATCATAATACATATAAATAAAATTAGAGTGTCCGTTTGTAATATTGAAATAACCGTTTTTTACAACATGCATATAAATATAAATACGGTACATACACGAGTATTTATTTATAATTTTTGTCCGTCTCTCTCTTTGTTCCGGCTAATCTCTGAAATGGCTGGACTGATATTGACGGGACTTTTATTGGTAGCTGAGGTAATAAGCAGTAACTTAGGCTACTTTTATTTTAGAAAAATAAAGTCAAATTCCGCGCGGACGAAGTCGCGGTAACAGCTATTAATAAATAAAATCCACACGAGTTGTTGGCAAAAATAGCCCCAAACAAGTCCACCGTACGAACATAAATACTTAGGTAGAAGTTCGTCGCTTCCAGTCTATAAGGGTAAGTAGGTCAGATTGTTTTCATACTCCTATACGAACTGATTTATTGCGTCATCTACATACAATGTTTATTAGAGATGTGCTAACACGTAATAAACATGACTCCAGTTAACTCGACTTAAAATTCAGGTAACCCGAGTTAACTCGAGTTGACGGAATGGGAATAAAAAGTTTTATTTTTTATTTTTCGAACAATTCCAATGTTATTGGGCGCAGCTGGCCTTGAAAGCTTCACCGAACTTTAGGAGCGAGTAGAAATGGCATTTTAAAGCCGCGGAAGGACTTATGGAACACATAATCATTTTATTGATAACATACTCGTCCGAATATGCGAAAAAAAAATGATAACAACCTCAAATCAATATTGAAATAGTACTGAATGAGTGACTGAAAATTGTATGATATGAAATGATCGGAAAATTTCATGTCATTGTCAGTTCGATGACAGAATCATGCTCTCGCTCTTTCATTTGATTCATTCATTTACCAGTTGAATTATTCCAACTCGAGTTGGAAGAATTCAACTCGAGTTAACTCGAGTTATGCGCAGCTCGAGTTGACACATTTGTAATGTTTACAGTTGAAGATTGTGTGAATTAAAACAGTGCTCATTATCAATAATACTTTGGTCAAGTACAACTACTTACTAAGTTTTTAATTGACTAGTTTCGATTATAACAAATCATGTTTTTCATCCACAACTAGGGTTGCCAACGATAGCTTATAATAACGTAACCCACATTATTTTTGGTAATTATGCTTTATGCTACATTTACATCCAAATAAAATATGCGACATACTTTATTTTCAACCTTTACTGTGATGCGTAAAACAAAATACTCATTAGGTGTATGTTGGATGTCAATTGTGAGTTGTGACATTTGTCACAGCTCTAGTGTTAAAAGCACACCAAAATACGTTTTTAAAGCAATAAAAACATAGAATTTGAAAAATATTTTTTTTTCTAATACTTTGTTTTTTCCTATCCAAACCAGTTGTTTTTTTGTCAAAAAAAGTTGGCAACCCTACCCACAACCCTTAATAGAACATAACATGATACCGGTCCATTTGTTTGTTAGGGAATCATATCTTGTCTGTTTACACTCCATTTGAACGTATATTATTGAAGACTAGCTGTACCCGCGACTTCGTCCGCGTGGAATTTAACTTTATTTCCCTATAATAAAAGTAGCCTAAGTTACTCCTTATTACATCAGCTACTTGCCAAAAAAAGTCCCGTCAAAATCGGTCCAACGATTTTGGAGATTAGCCGGAACAAAGAGATAGACAGACCAATAAAAATTATACAAATGTTATTTTGGTGTATGTACCGTATTTATATTCATATGCATGTATTAAAAAACGGTTATTTCAATATTACAAACAGACACTCCAATGTTATTTGCATGTATAGATATCGAACGCGTCGCCCACGCGGCGCCGCGCCGCGGCCGGCGCCCGCGCGGCCTTCAGCTGCGCGTGTGACATTTAAAATTTCATTCAGTCAGTGAGAGTAGCGACGTGCGGCCAGTGTGGAGAGTGTGGAGCGCAGCGTTGTAACATAGTGCTGCTTGTTGTATGAACTAAATACGTGCAATGGCAGAAAATATGAGCAGCGAGCCGGAGCAGCAGGCGCGGCCGCCGCCGGAGTCTGTACAGCCGCCGGAGTCGCCGGGGTCGGTGACCGTGCGGGCGGCGCGAGTGGACGACATGCCGCGCATTCACACCCTCATACACGTGAGTGTATTGTTATTTTTTTGTGTATGATAATGGAATGGTCCTCCCGCCTGCGCAAACGGTTTATGCTGCCGGGGCACCAGTGGAGGATGACAATATGAACATGAGGTCAAGTCAGTTAGCTCATCGTAATAAACTCTCTAGGAATTTATCACGATAGTTTCTATATTTAATGTATAGCGTATGAATTTTACAAACACTTCTAAAACATTCCGCGGCGTCAACATTCAGTATATCCAGTGTACTCTATAATTTTTTAAATATAATAGTAATATAAATATATAATATAATATATTCTTCCAACAAACAGGGTCTACAAATCCATTTTAACTCTTGCAGTACAAACAGTAGAAACTACATATACTCGTATATATGTGATATACATATGTATTACTATTATATTTTCAAGTGGTGGATTTAGGACGCAGATGTAACTGCAGCGACATGTTGCAGGAGCTGGCCGCGTACGAGGGGGTGCCCGACGGACCGCGGCTCAGCGTCCAAGGTGAGTACTACACATCATATGTTACGGCAATTACTGCGACAGTAGTTTCTGCTAATCGCATTCCACAGGCGCTTTAATTGTTAATTATATGTTGATATTTTCAAATTTTGCTCTACTAATTTTGAAGGTTTCAAACCTTCAAAATTAAGTATTAGTGCAAAACTTGTTTCACAGCCATCATTGTCAGAAACTTTTAATTGTCCACTTGGAGACAACATATAATATTTATGTAATCTTTATATATAAAAATTACATGTCCCGTTGTTTATAAAGTACTGATCCGATTGTAAATTTGATTTGCACATTGTGTGCAATTTGATCCAACTTGAAAGATAGAATAGCTTACATCTCAATTTATAGTCGCAATATTATTTTATTGCAAATTATTTTTATATATAAAGAAATTGTTAGCCACAACAATGCGTGGACGGATCTGCTAGTAATATTAAAAATTGCAACTCTGACATAATCTCTACTTAAATTTTATATTGGGACTCTTTTTTATTATGTAATTTGTAAAAATGGTTGGTTACATGATGATGAAACGAGAGCCTTGTACTGATATGTTTATTTACAAAGACTTGGTGAGGGACGGCTTCGAGTGTCCGTCGCCGTGGTTCTTCGCGGTGGTGGCGGAGCGCGGCGGCCAGCTGGTGGGGTACGCGCTGTGCAACCGCGCCTACTCCAGCTGGACCTGCCGCGCCCTCTACATCGAGGACCTCTATGTGGTGCCGGACATGCGGCGCGCAGGGATCGGTATGAAGATACTGCAACACCTCTGTCAGGTTAGACTGGTCTTTAATAACTCTACCTGCCGCCTACGCGACAGGGCACCAGTGGAGTATGATAACATGAACATGAGGTCAGGTCAGTTAGTTCATCCTAACAAATTCTCTAGGAATTTATCAGGATAATTTCTAGATTCGCTTATGAATTTTATACACACTTCTAAAACATTCCGCGGCGTCAACATTAAATATATCTAATGTACCTACTCTATAATCTTTTAAATGTAATAGTAATATAAAAACTATAATACATTCCTCCAACAAACAGGATTTACAAACCCATTTTAACCTGCAATGGTACTCTGCCACTCTCTTTCAAATGTACAGTAGGTACGTAGCTCGTAAGATGTTTTATAGGACAGGGGACAAACATCCATGTATCCATTCGGTAGAACCGATGACACTTTGGGAGATCCGGCCTATGTAAGACGATCACACGCCAGTCTTTGTGTAAAGATATAGTCCGAGCGCTACTTACATATAGCCGGATCGTGGGATGTTTCCCTGGACAATGAATGAATAGTTAGTGGTTGGTGTGTCTAGATGTCGTTGCGTGAGGACGTGCACCGCATCGACTGGCACGTGCTGGACAGCAACGCGCCCGCGCTGGCGTTCTACGACCGGCTCGGAGCCCGCGACCTGCGCCGCACCGAGCGCCGCGCCGCGCTGCGCCTCGACAGACACCGCATCGAGGCGGTCGCCGGCCACCGACACCACCACGCTCCGCCCTCCTGAACACCGCTCAATACATACCATATACGACCGTGACCACTGTATGTTGATGTTGATGATCCATCGATTGCTGATAAAAATGTATTCTAAAAGCAAAATAATATAAGAGAAAAATCTGTTCTGTAATAAATCACTATAGAATGTTTATGAATCAAGAGTAGGAAGGGAATTTAAGGATTATCAGATATATTTTCTTTAAGACTAGCTGTGCCCGCGTGCCCGTGTATTATTATGATGCATAAGCTATATTACTGTAAAGTTTCATCGAAATCCGTTCAATAATTTTTGCGTGAAAGAGTAATAAACATCGATACTTACGAACTTTTGCGTTTATAATATTAAGATTAAGATATATTTTTAAGTATAGATACTTATATTGTATTTGTAAAGTGTTACTATAGATATTATTTATTATATTCAATAATTAGTAAATGCATGTATTTACATATAAAATAACTACATATTTTTTATAAAACTTATTGATAAATAAATGATTTAACAACTGTGAAATTGTATTTACATAAATAAACAAGTAGACAAATGTTGGGATCTCTTTTGAATATGACCATCCTGACTCACGTTTTTGTACAACAATATATTGTTAGAAGTCGTGCTTTATGTTCGACTGCAAGTATTGAACGCTATGTATTCCATGTGAAAATATTATATGCATATATAGAAAGCTTTCATCATATATTAACAATCACTATTGCTGACAGTGTCAAGAGCATAGCGCAGTTTGATAAAAACACACACACAGGATGAATACGATTAATAAAAGTACATCAAAGTTCGGGGAATTGACGATACGTAACGTTTACCTTTATATTTCTATCCCTAGTTATACAATATCTATTTCAATTACGAGGCTTTAATTGTGATGTATAAAGTATATTACTGTACAGTTTCATCAAAATCTGTTCAACAATTTTTGCGTGAAACACCAACAAACATTCATGCATACATAAGTACTTTCAACCACACTTTAGCGCCTGTAGTATTAATAGGACTAGAAAATAATAATTTTAGTAGTTTAAAATTTTGTGAAATATTTAAACGTAACCGTTTAATGGATGGATTTGTTGTATTGTACTGAGTGTACAGGACCTCTGACATCCGGGCCGGTGGCTGGCACGACAATTCGTAGTTTTAAATATTTACATTTTTATATGAATACTAGCAACTCGCCCCGGCTTCGCACGGGTGTCCATGTATTGTTATATATTTGTATAAACCTTTCTCTTGAATCACTATATCTATTTAAAAAAACCCTTAAAAATCCGTTGCATAGTTTGTCTGTCCGTCCCTATATATGGATTTAAGCATACATAGCGATAGCGACTTTGTTTTATACTATGTACTAATGATTTGGTTGCTATGGTTTTATCATTCCTTTTTCCTCGTGCCTACTGCTACCGTACTAGTTTTGTTACGACATATATTTTAATAATATACTGTTACACATTCATATTGGCCCTTTAGTCACCACCATCGTTGGCTGCACCGCACTTAGCGCACCCCAGCGACCTACACACAATCCCACACGCGGAGCATTAGCGCAGCGATCATAGCAACTTTCATTATTTGCTATTAAACAAATAAAGTTGCTCATTATCACTAATGTACAAACGTTGTACGCAGGCTCGCTAATAGCACTAACAGCCATCCGAGCCCAGTCGTTATCTCCTAAACTCCGAAACTACGAGTATACGAGTTATGTGCACACGACACACAAATATTACGCGCGTTACTCAAGTACTACGTGTTATTATGTACTGTTACTTATATCTACACTAATATATATTTTTAGAGGATGATCATGGAATGGTGCACCCTCCTGAGCTAATGGTTTACGCTGGCGGGGCACCAGTGGAGGATGATAGGATGAACATGAAGTCAGATCAGTTAGCCCAACGTGACAATTTCACCGGAAATTTATCTACATTTAAAACTACTGCTAGTGCTACTAGCTGGTGTTTACAACGTGTGTGTGTGTCTGGTAGTGTCTACCCTCGGATGACTCCTGCCACCACTACGGCTTTTATTTATTATCGTTTCTTGATTGTCTGGTCCTGGAAACGTAATAAACAAAAAAACGATAACGGCTACTAATGACATTCTTTTAGGATGATAGGTCGCGTCCCGAGGACAGACACAGGGCACACTCGTACGACAACGTTTTTTCTAAATATTATCAGCAAATTTTATTTGTATAAATTGTAATTTATCTAAATTTTTCTCTTATGGAAATGAATAAGGAATACAATATTTATTTAAATATTCAATTTGTGCTTGAAAATCTCAATCAATACATGATGTACTCAATCGGTATAAACACAAACTCATACGTTAATTGGTGAAGAATTGTGATAAGATTACACAATAAGCAGTAAGTAATGCAACGTGTCCAGTGGTGACTGTGCTGGCACACGACGCTGTTCTCAAATGGAACAATTCTCCGCTCGCTTGCTATGTGTATTGACCCACCCGAATTTCAAGCGGACAGGCTATTACAGTTGCAGTAGGCCAGCCCTGTACGTTGGGATATATTCGCCAAATTATAGCAAATGGAAGAGTTAGTAATCTAATAACGGATGTATTGATTTAAGCGTAAATTTAAAAATTCGGAGAAATGTCGATCAAATTCAAATTCAAATTCAAAAATCATTTATTCATGGCAGGACTTTTTAGTCGCTTATGAACGTCAATTTTTTTTATATTACGAGTATATTTTTTTTTCCGACCGTCCCGTTCAGTATATAGATCCAATTGAGAAGAACTTGTAAGAAACTCAATTGTATTACTTATTTTTTTTAAAAGTCAGTTTATTTATAATGTATATTTATATAGGTGTCTATGTCTAACATTAAATGAAAATCCCGTGCATGAACAACTATTGCCATGCACGCTCGTCATTCAAGTAATCGTTTAGTGAGTAATAAGCTTTGCTCAGTAAATATGATTTAACAGATGTTTTAAATTTATTTAAGGGTAATTCCAGTATGTCCTTTGGTATCTTATTGTAAATTTTTATACCTATTCCCATAAAAGACCTATTGACTTTTTCTAAACGACACTTGGCGACAGCAAGATTGTCTTTAAATCTAGTATTAATATTATGAATATTATTTAATGTTATGATTATTGATCCATAAAGCTACTACTACTACCTATCCACTAGTATACGTGTGCCGCAACATATATAGTCGGATTAGACAAACAGTAGCGTGATTGGATCAAATTTATTTCTCTAATAGCTTTGACGTCGCACAGCTCCGCACCACGGGGCGCACCACGGCGCTGGCGCTGCCCTGTACAGAAATAAGAAAAGAGTCCTCAAGTGACCAGCAGAGTTCCCTATGTCAACTATTCTGTAAAGCAAAAATAATTGTGTGTACAAATTAATAAATGTATGCTGTTGTCTACATCTTGTAGGATGTATTACTTAACTTGTTTATTTTATCTGTGTAAAGTTGTGCACTCTGTGAGACATCCAGTTTTGTAGACCTAATAAATAATTATATTTAAAAATGTAACTAAAAATACAACATTTATTATTACATCAAGTTTTTATAATTGTAACTTACTGAATAAGAAGTTTTATCGGTCTAAGATGCAGGCAATTCCTCTGTTCGTACATAACATAACTAATATTTATATATTTGGTATAATTTATTACATTATGTTATCTGTGCTTACTACATTGAAAGCAATTTTAAAGAATTATTGCCATGATGCAGGTGGATAAGTGAATTCTTCGTCTTAAGTTAGTTAGTGTACTGTATGTTTACAAGTATTTCATATGACTAGACGTATTAATCACTGCTGGTTCAGTTGTTAGGAGGCGGCGCGGCGCGGCGACCGGTCCGCGGCGTCTCGTCCCCGCAATGACATGATGTCATTGTGACGACATCGCTATTCTTTAGGAGCTGTGTCGGCGGACATAGACGAAGCTTTTTTGTAATATTTCACAGCCCGGTCCTACGGTTAGGTAACATTTTGATGGCCTCGGTGCTCACCAGAGCACCGTCTTACTCAGATGGTTTGGAGGTTCGATTCCTCGCATGGAACATATGATTGTTTGTATCGGTTTGGGTGTTTTCTATGTATATTAAATATATTAGTATATTTACAAAAATATATATCTATGAATTGTTTAGAACCCATAACACAAGCCCTGCCTAGCTCGGGACTAGATGGTGCTATGTGAATAGTTCAGACTTACTCGTATTTAAAACTCAAAATATCTTTATTCATGTAGGTGGTGTATTACAGACTATTATTATTGTCAGATCTATCTACCGTCAGTTCGAAATGATTTCGAGATGAGAAGAACTGACAAGAAACTCAGCTCGTATTCTTTTCAAATAAATGTTGTACATGTTGACAATAATACAGATTTTAAATTCAAATTACTAGTATTTCTTAACGTACGTAGATGTATAGAGTGTAGTCCTAACATATCAGCATGCCTTTCGCGTCGTATTCACATGTATGCTAGGGCACTAAGGCAGCAGTGCACGACGTCCGGGGCTCGTGTATGGAGCGGCGTAGAGCGGCCGGGGCGCATGCGCGGCGCGGCGCGGCGCGGTGCTGGCGGCGGCGGCGGCGGCGGCGGGCGCGGCACTAGCGGGCGCCGCGCGAGGCTGGCGGGTCGCGGCTGGTGCTCGTGCTCGTGCTGAGCGGCGTGAGTGAGTGCGCGCCGCGCCCAGGCCCGCGCCCTCCGCGGCATGTGCGCCCGCCGCCCGCCGCCCGCCGCACACTAACAAACACACCGCTCACGAACGTTACACCGACACCGTCGTGCATCCCGCGAACATTTCGATGTTACAACAGGTAAATAAAAGTTGACTAGTGCATTCATACTACGGAATTGCCATTTTATACTTACTCATAATGTTATTGTTTCTAATGTTGGTACATTTATATATTTTCGATAAGTCGTCAGCTCTATTATTGAAGTAAAAAATATACTTAATATCTGATAGAATAATTATTATTACTTTGGGCACTGATTACTATCGGAACATGTACAAATATAACATGTAATATGTTCAATAAGAATGAAATGTAGATACTTTTACAATTACACATTAAAATAAAAAAAGAATCAATTCACAACGTAGAGAGGGCAGCAATCGTTGTCTTCATTTGAAATTGATTGAATTATATTTGGAGGCTGTACTGTACATGTATTTTAATGACGTCATTGTGATCCAGTGTCTCGAGGCGACTCGTAAAATATGTGCCAATAATTTCCCCTAAAATTGAGATCACGAAGAAAATCTCCAATAAAGAGTGATATTTTCCATTATGTTAGTGTTGCTCTTATATTTTTTAGTTGCCACTCTTTTGTTTTAGTGTTTTAAAGTCATAGATATTTCACGGGTTAAATATTTTTGCAATTCAAAGAAATCACGAGTCTGTTGTTTATGTTTACGTACACGAGCTCCCTGGGTCGTTGTTTTCTAATTATTTTATTAGTTATCTATTTGAGTTAAACCTTAACTTTGATTTTCTTCTCTGAACGTAACACCTAGTTTTCCTCCCATCGCTCGTCACAAAATGTCCCTAATTGTAAAATTGCAGTGGACTGTCATTTCCCAGCATTGAATTCAAAACACATCTTACAAACTTTGCTGCTTGGCGGCCGTGTTGTTTATTGTTGTTTAAGTGGTTTGTGATTGAGAAGACAGCTCGCGATGAATTAATACTCGTGGAGCATGAAATGTGTGTACGAGTATGTCATGTGCGTGTTTCACTAATATTATGAACTGTTAACAAATCATTCTGTAGAATCATGTTCGTTAAACCACGTTACGCTCATGGTTAGATGCCAATTATGCCGAGATGCATACATTTCTTACATTAAGCGTGTTAGAAATGAGTTATATAATAACTAGCTACTCGCCCCAGCGCCGCACGGGTGTGTATTATACATGTATTATATATATATAAACCTTCCTTTTGAGTTACTCTATCTATTTAAAAAAAATCGCTACAAAATCGGTTGCGTAGTTTTAAATCTTAAAGTATACTATGTATAGGGACGGACAGACAGCGACAGCGACTTTGTTTTATATTCTGTAATGATGTGCTGAGAATAATCAAATAAACTGTGGGACACGTTCACGAAACCAATTAATCCCGTCTTTGTCAATTTGTCACGATGGACAACTGACCTGACCTCATGCTCCACTGATGCCAACGCTGGAGTTGCGGCGGGGCATCAGTGCAGCATGATAAGATGAACATGAGCTCGCATTATTATACATAAAAACACAGACAGACCGACTAGAGACGGAGGAAGTAGCCTCGATCAGATTTATTTATATTTAAAGTTAATAAAGACTAGAATCGTTACCATCGAAACTACGAAGGATTCAACGTAGCCACCCCTGTACCTGCCGTAACAATTATACGGGCCCACCGGCACCAACGTGCGTAGACAAAAATTAACTTACCAATTTATTTTTATTTCAAATATAACAAAAGACAAATATAAGCAATTTCTTTTTTTTTTCTCGCATCAGCTTTAAATGATATGGTAAATCAGTTTTCGGAAAAAAAGGCAAGGAGAGTGTATTTGAGAGTATATTTAATATGTTTTTTGTAAAAATTATGATGAATAAATATTTATTTTTATGTTATGCATTTTTTTTTCTACTTCTTTCCCTTTAATTTTCGTAAGGGCCCCAAAAAAAAACAAAACACCGCGCCAAGGCACCCTACGCTTCTGCTAGGATTGTTTTAGTTTATATCACAGCACAGAATTAAAGTAGGTACAATTAAATACGAAAAGGTTAGACAACGTGATATAAGATCTAAAAGAACACAGACACAAGTCAATGTGGCGTTAACTATTACATGTACACAGTACACACCCTTCCATAAGCTATAAGAAGGATTCGTGGGTCACAATAGCACGTGTCGTGACGAACAAATCGGAAGTTTTCGTAGGTAACGTAGTAGTACCGGCCGGCGTGAGGTGAATGTATCGATCGTATTGTTCGCACAACAGGCGGGAGCTGCGAGGTCCGTCGCGTCCGTTTGATCTCGTTCACTCGGCCGAGAGAGTAATCGGCGCGGCGGAGCGAGCACGCGCGGCGCCGGGCCCATGGCGGACGTCACCTGACGGCCGCCATGCGCGCGCTGGCGCCGCTGCTCGCGCTCCTCGCCGCCGCCGCCGCGCTCCCCGCGCCCGCCGCCGCCCGGGGCCCCGCGCCCGCCCTGCTCGTGCTGCGGGCCGCGTGCCGCGCCGCGGACCCCACCCTGTTCTCCGAGAGGCGGCTGCAGCGCTACGCGAACACCACCCTCAAGGAAGCGGCGCTTCGACGACGCCCGTTTCGCATCCTCAGCTATAAAAGTGGGTTCATTCGATGTCACCGCTCATAAATAACACGATATCCGCATATATAAACTTCAGTCGACGTGTTTGGTTGCAGAGACTTGCGGCGAGGATTGGAAATCGGAAGTGACGCGCAGCGCTCTGCTGACGATCGGCGGCGGCGGGGCGGTGTCGTTCGCGGGGTGGGCGGGCTCGGGCGTGTGCGAGGCGGTGTCGGCGGCGGGGCGCGTGCTGCGGCGGGCGGCGGCGGGCGCGTGCGGGGCGCCGGCCGCGCGCGCCGCCGCGGTGGCGCGGCTGGCGGGCCGGCTGCGCTGGCGCCGCGCGCTGCTCTCGTCCCGGGTCGCGCGTGCCGAGTGTTCCGCGTCGCTGCGTGAAGTCGAGCGCGCTCTCATAGCCGCGGGACTGGCAGTTCGCTACGCGCTACTCTCGACCGACGAGCTCGCTCGCCGACCGCATGGTCAGTAGGTTGTATGAAATTTGCGTCCTATATAGTTAGCTCTCTATATCTGAATACAATTTTTCAACGGGCTGTCTCTTTGAATTCGCAGTTGTGATCATATGTGCCTCTCTTCGATCGGATCCGGCCATAGATGTAGGCGCGTTGGAGGACGCAGTGGACGCGACGCCGGTGGTGCTGATCGTGCACGTGGACGAGTACGAGACGCCCGGCGCTCCGTCCGCGGCCGCCGAGACGATCGACGATACCGATGACGCTTTTAAAATGAGCAATATCACTTTAGATGTAGGAAGTTCGCCTTATAAACGAAAGAGAGAAAATACCCCGCCCTTTTTAGCTACCGAAAATGCAAATGTATCCGTAGTTCATCCAGAATCATATAATAAAACTTTCTTGTCGCCGCCGCCGAATTCACGTGTAAACAACGTCGCCTCTCCCTATCACGGTAACAAAACTCGTTACGCATCCGAAACGACGGGGCCGACCTCTACTACTATTTTCGAGGAATATGGCGAAGTAAACACGATAAAAACAAGCATAATAGGAAAATCGCTGCAAAATAATATTCCCCGAATATATACCTCGGGAGGCACAAAACAAGTGTCCACAAATAACAAGTCCAAGGACGATTTGCAACTTAGTTATATTCAAGGGCGCCGTACAGTGCGAGCCACCGGCATCGATCTGTCCATGACTCAGGGACATACAAATTTCAATGATCTCGTCTCACGAGTCGCACATCATATCCGACGTCGTATGTTATTTCTTACTGATAAGCGACTTGAAACTGAACAAACACCAGTGATTGACGATGCCATATATGAGGAAATACTGGAAGCGCTTCAACAGGACACAGAGGCGGAGCGGACGCGCACTGAAAGTGGCCGTATGACATTTTTCTTATACGATAGTACTTTTAACGATCTAATGAAATCTAGCTGGCGATCTGTAGCTGTGCTCGCCACTGTATCTACTAGATCCTTAGACAAATCGGAAGAATGGCAGACTGTCGTCGATATAATCAACGCAACTCGCAGTTTTGACATTTGGAGTGAGGAGTACGCCGGTGATCACGACGACGTATCACTGGGCGTGACTGTGCCGATATTAATAGTATGTATTGTGTCAGCGTTGGTACTTGCTGTTGCACTGATTTTGATAGCACGATGGATGGCCGTACATCGACGCCGCATACGACGACGCGCCGACGCTATACTGGCGCCCAGTGATTTTATATTTCCAGCGGATGAGAGACGTCGTGTGGGAGAAGGGATGGAAACGATGCTGTCGTGTTGGTTGCAACAGTTGCATGAATTCGGAGGACCTGAACTGGAACGACCAGACTTACTGAAGCAGCCTCCTCGAGTCGCTCCTCACGAGCCTTCCGCGCCATCATCTACTTGCAGTATAAATCGCGTCGCTGCCGATCGCCGCACTAGATACAAAGTTAGTGTAACAGTTTCTATACTATAGTCAAAGACAACCTTGTTTAAAACAATATAATTATAAAGTTGGTGTTGTTTTCTTTCTAGGGCGATGCAGTACATATGAAGTATCTACCAGTGGTCGCCCTCGAGCTGCGACGTAAGGCTACTGACGTAGTCCTGGTGATGCAAAGTTTACGTCACGAGAATCTGAACCCTTTTATAGGTAAATAATATAATTTTTAGAACCCTCCAAACTAGTAGTAGTAGTTGCTGTTATTTCACAGTCTATGAGAAATAATGTTTTATAGCAGTGAAACGATAGTTACATATAATGTGATCGCAGGATGCTTGTGCGAGGTGCGGCCCGCGCTGGTGTTCGACCAGTGCGGCCGCGGCTCGCTGGAGGACGTGCTGATGGCGGACGACATCAAGCTGGACTGGACGTTCCGCCTGTCGCTGCTCACGGACCTGGTGAAGGGCATGCGCTACCTGCACGCGTCGCCGCTGCGCGTGCACGGCCGCCTCACCTCGCGGAACTGCGTCGTCGACTCGCGCTGGGTGCTCCGCCTCACCGACTACGGCCTGCCCGGCCTCTACCGCGCCCAAGCACTGCCACAGCCGCAACGCTCCGCTCGCGGTATACGCTACTTATATTAATACACTTTCAAGTAAATACAATGACTCTGCTGTGTCTCGTAATATGCTTCCATTTCCTAAAAATAAAATATTGTTGACTTTTTCCCTTTATGTACGTAAATGTCAAATATTATTTTCTTCTTGTGTCTATTACTTTGTTGGCTGTACGCGCTATTTCATTGTCGGAATATTAGGTGTGTATTAGGGTTCATTCAGTCAGTGAGAGTAGCGAGTGTGTATTTATGTATAAGTAACATTTTATCCACTCTTCAAACACAGACATGACGATACAAAAAAAGTATAGAAACTATCAGAGAAACGAGTGCGATGGAGCTTTCTATTCGGGTGTACACTATTATTTAGAATATTTTCTACAAAATTATGTACATTTTTTTTTTATTCTTTAACATAGAGTTGTTGTGGACTGCGCCGGAGGTGCTTCGCGAAGGCCGGGGAGCCGGCCGCGGCTCGCAGCCCGGCGACGTGTTCTCCTTCGCTATCATAATGCAGGAAGTGATAGTGCGCGGCGAGCCCTACTGCATGCTAGCCCTCACGCCCGAAGGTGAGCACGGCAGAAGCTGGCGAGTGCCACGTGCGCGTACGAACACTAAGCGAGTGCCACGAATGGGCACACGTACACGGGCCCTATATTCAACGTCCTGTGTCAGCACTGACTTTCTATGTATTGTAGAAATCGTGGAGAAGTTGATGCGTCCGCCGCCGCTGATCCGGCCGTCGGTGTCGATGGGCGCGGCGCCGCCCGAGGCCGTCAGCGTGATGCGCCAGTGTTGGAGCGAGGCGCCCGACCTGCGGCCGGACTTCCATCGGCTACACGACATATTTCGACACTTACATCGCGGCAGGTGAATACACACACCGATTTGTGGAATTGTTCTCATACATGGATAAATGTTTAGATGTCTATTACTTTTTCACACAAAAAATACTAAATGGATATACCTATATTGAATCGAAAAAACCTAAAGGCCATAATTTATAAAACTATTTGGCCAATATCTAAGTATCAAGCAAGTCGGAAAAAATATCACATCTGCGTTGCAGTTTTATTTTTTTTTTTTATAAAGAGTCATTAGTAAAGTGTGAACTTCTTTACATACAAACTTTTGCATTTATAATAGGTATTAGTAAGATTAGTGAAAATCCTAAAAAAGAGTCTGAAAGCCGTTATATTTGAATTTCAGTATCAAATTAATTCATATTCATATAATAAGTAGTTTTATCGTTTATATACTCTCCAATACATAGCCCATGATACTCGCCACGTCAACTTAGTCAACCTAAATCACCTAAATGAAGACTATGGTCTTATGGCTCCGTGGTTGCATACCCAGCAATTTTATCATCGTTGTCATTTGAATAATAGAATTTATGTAGGTACTTACGAGTAAATATATAGTACCACAGATAACATAATGTTATATATAAAATTCTCGTGTCACAGATTTCGTTCCCATACTCCTCCGAAACGGCTTGACCGATTCTCATGAAATTTTGTGAGCGTATTGAGTAGGTCTGAGAATCGGCCAACATCTATTTTTCATCTCCCTAAATGTTAGGGGTAGTCCACCCCAAAATTTTTTTATTTTTTATTTTTATTTTAAGGCAAAACATCATTCGCCGGGACAGCTAGTATTACATATAACTATGCTTGCCTAATTTTGATTGCAGGAAAATAAATATTGTGGACTCCATGTTTGAAATGCTGGAAAAATACAGCAACAACTTAGAGGAACTGATACGTGAGAGAACTGAACAACTGGACATGGAGAAGAAGAAAACTGAACAACTTCTCAACAGAATGCTGCCCAGGTACATGCACTAGACGCATCTAACAATATATCATCATACAATGTATGTGTGGGCGACAAAGTAAAACCAGGGAATTGTCCTAATATGTGTATATATTATATATAGTATATTATACTAAGAAACACTACTGACTAAGACCAGGAAGCGAAACCGAAAGGATCAATAGAAGGAAGTGACGCTTTAGAAACGAATTTGGTATTTTAAATATGAAGCTTATAAAATAGAACATAGACTAAACAAGTGACCTGTACTCTACAGTATGTATATTTTGTACTAGATGACCTAGTGAACTTCGCGTCGTGTATATATTATACCATACATTTAGGTTGAATCCAATGTTTGGTTATCGTGTAGAAACCTCAGTCATCTTAAAACTTTGCCATTTTATGGAACACCATAAAACTTAAGCAATGTAATTACTTCTATACTCACTCAAGCCTGTCTATATTACCTTCACAATTTTGAAGTTCTATAGCCTTTCTTTCTTTCTGTTTCTCTCATTATTTCTCGTCTATTTTCGACTATTATCATTCATTCTGTACTATTCCATTTTACCTGATTTAACTCTAGTGTCCTTGTATGAAAAGTTTAAATCAACAGCTAGAATAAAAAAATATTGTTTATACGGTTTTCAAAGATTTTTTTTTTCAAATTTGTAGGACCTTTTTTTCAAATATCAAGTAATAGTAAAAGTAGCTAAATTGGTCCAGCTTTCTTCAGCTTTCTTTAATTTTGTGTAATAAAATATATAATAATGAGGAAGGTACCGTCGATAGGTCCGTGGCGGAGCGCTTGATGCTCGGCTCGCGGGTGGAGCCCGAGGAGTTCGAGGAGGTGTCGATATACTTCAGCGACATCGTGGGGTTCACGGCGCTGGCGGCGCGCTCGACGCCGGTGCAGGTGGTGGACCTGCTGAACGACCTGTACACGACGTTCGACGCCGCCATCGAGCAGTACCGCGTGTACAAGGTGGAGACCATCGGCGACGCGTACATGGTGGTGGGCGGGCTGCCGGCGCGCGCGCGCGACCACGCCGAGAGCGTGGCCACCATGGCGCTGCACCTGCTGCACCTCGCCGGCCGCTTCCGGCTGCGGCACCTGCCCGCCACGCCGCTGCACCTGCGCATCGGCCTGCACTCGGGGCCCTGCTGCGCCGGCGTCGTCGGCCTCACCATGCCGCGCTACTGCCTCTTCGGGGACACCGTCAACACCGCCTCGCGCATGGAGTCCACAGGCGGGTATTTCATTACCTTGAAAATAATCGCTCGACGATCGTAATATTGTTATGTTTCCTTCCTCTCTAATACTTGAGTTGTTTTTGTCTTTCAGGTGCGGCTTGGCGCATTCAAGTGTCTGCGACGACCGCGGAACGACTCACCGCAGCCGGCGGCTATCGCCTGCGGTCCCGAGGTCTCGTTCAAATTAAAGGCAAGGGTGCCATGCACACGTATTGGTTACTCGGAAAGGAGGGATTCGACAAGCCGCTGCCGACGCCACCGCCCCTAGAGTGAGCTCTCTAACATTAATATCAATATATAAACAATATCTCTACAATTAATACTACATTTTTACCGTTCATTGTAATCTAATACAGGTCTGAAGAAGTCTTATTCGAAACCGACGGTGAAAACGAGAGCGAGTCGTCTTCGGGTCCGTCGATGACGCCCGGCAAATGTTCCCAGATCATCGAAAGACAGCGGTCCGATCCCACGGCTACGCTCGATAAGTACGGTAAGATATCTTAACGTTTGTTCAACTGAAATAAACAATGTGAAAGAATATCATATAAAATATATATGTACACTAGCGGATGTCGATCATATGCATAATTCGCTGAGCAGCATAAAGTACGGTTTTTTTTTTTTTGTTATAAGCTCTGTATAAGATTTCCTTTTGATATACTATAAAGACGATTCAAAACAGAATGTTTTCATCGATATGCAATTTCCTCGTCTCTCTCTGGGTTTCTACGGTGGACCTTCGCCGGGGACAGCGTGGCAGAGATCGGGAGCGATGTCGGCCGACAGCAGCCCCCCCCGCGCGCCGCGCGCCTCCTCCGCCGTCTGCGTCGGCACCGACCACAGCGCACCCTACGCGCGATACAGGTACGGCCACGGGTCTACACGCGTCCGAGCGCGGCGGCTCCGCAGAGCGCACGTGCGGGTGTATCGATCGAAATACAAATAACGACCGAGTGGATGCGTCGGTCCGGCAGGTGCCTGGCGAGCGGGTCGCGCGTGCTGCGGCGGCAGTGGTCGCTGGAGCGCGGCGAGGCGCTGGCGGCGGCGGCGGGCGCGCGCGCGGCCGCCGCCCACGAGCCGCTGGCGCTGCTGCCGCCCGCCACCCCGCGCGCCGCGCCCGCGCGGTACCGCACGCGCCCGCCCGCCTCCGACGACGCCGCCTCGCCGCGCGCCCGCGCCCGCCCCCGCCCCCGCCCGCCCTGAGCTCCCGCGCCCCCTCCACCGCCCGATGCGACCCTCGATCGACAATAATTTTCGTAGACTTATTCGTTTTGGCGGCACTCTCGTCTCCTGTGCCCGCCGCGTTGTGATTAGTGAATATTTTTTCTCAAATAGTGTATGTGTATACCTTTGTACTAAGATCTTTTAGATCGGTGTCTATTTTTTTTTTTTGTTTTTTTTTTTTCCTCGTTAAAATGTAGTTAAATAGTTATTTCAATATTACTGTAATAAGTACGTTACAATGTTACAAATGATTTTTGGTTTTTTTTTTTTTATTTCCTCAGTCTCAAATTTTATTATTACTTTGTACTTATAAATACCTATAAGGAATAAAGTAATGCTTCCTCTAGGCATCTTTCCACTACTTTTATGTTTTTCTTTCCTTCGGTCTCTTTATTTATTTATTTATTTTTGTTACAATAATAGATACACCGTTTATAAAATTTCTGTTTCACAAACACCGATCGTCCACACATACGTAGTCACGATTGTTAACAATATTGTACATGTGTAGGTTGTATGATCCGTTATTGGATACCGTTTAGTATTAACTAAAGTTTCGAGTTAGGTACGTAGCTGGCTGGCGATGGCGTGGTGAGGTGACACCGCACGCGACTGTAACTAACCGTCACGTGTCGTGTCGGCGAGTGTCGAGTGGCGAGTGGCGAGTGGCGAGTGGCGAGTACGACCGCGAGCACGTGTCCGGAGTCCCGCTGCCAGCTGCCTGCCTGCCTGTAGTCCATCACTCGTAGAAACTTGAGTTTTGTTGTGACGAAGCGTTTACTACAAATAAATAAGTAGCGTCTCTAAAATATTTTACTATGAGAGCACCTAATAATTAGGAATGTGATTAGAATTTAGGTGATTTGTGTATTTTTGAAACTTTTCATTATAAATAAATATCTTTTCTCATACAACTTTGAGTTTTAATCCATAAACCTTCTTCTTTATAGACTTTCTACAAGATTTTTTTTTTTTTTGTTGTGTTTACCTTCTCATTGTATATTTATATTTATTTTCATATATACAGGGTGTAAGGGACTGGTTGGCCAAAACTAAAACAGCTGGTTCAGATGAATGGTCTGAATCAGATGGCAGTTTATTAAAGCAAACGCTTACGACGTAGGTAGAACAGCCTCTGATGAGAGGCTGTTCTGTGTGTTTAAAGCGCTGGTGTGTGGGCGTGTGGTAAATAAGTTAACAACCAAATGTATGTTCAGAACCTACCATTTAAAAAAAAAAAAAATTCGATCTTACCTTAGGTTCTCTTAGGTCTTTTGAGATATGGCTCGAATTGTCTACCTCCAAGAAGCTCACAAATTTCAACTTGACGCATGGTCTCCGCGTGCAGCCTAGTTATTATTGTGGAATCTTCATTAATATCGCTCCTTAACACATTAAATCCCTCACTTATTCGCTGTTGGAGTTTAGTCAGGGGACCAACCTGGCCATGGATGAGGCCCGAATCTTCCAATCCAGCGATCAGGGAAGGTTTCATCTAGATGTTATCGTACCGAGCACACAACATGCGGGGGAGCGCCATCATGCTGAAACCAAATTCTCGGTAAATGAACCAATGGGACACCTTCCACTTCGTCCCATAGAAACTTCAAATAGCGTTGTCCGTTCACACGCGCCGATAAAAAAAAAAAAAGTGGTCCAAGGATTTTATTGATGAAATTTGGGTTCACTCTTTAGCAGTTTATTAACCATCTACATAAGCGGCTAAAATATCCTACATGAATAAATGAATTTTTTTTTTTTTTTTAATTTGAATTGAATTTGAATTTACAGTACATAACACGGCGAAGGGAATCGCCAGGAACCAAGGCTTGCACCTTATGAATATGGTACGGCCGTTGCTGGTCTCTTCGTGCACAGTCCAGTGAGATGTACGAACTCCATGGTTACGTCTTAACAACTTCGCCGCTGTACGTGTGCCCAGGCGCGGGTTACGCTGTACTGTGTTCAAAATGTGCCCCTCAGTTCCAATTCCAATAGGTCTACTAGCACTTTCCTGTTGATTATGGTACAATCGGAACATTGTCGAGTATCCGTTGATATGCCCGCGTAATTGTGCGGCTGTTCCCTGGGTGACGAGCTGACGTGGGTGGGATACCTTTCCATGTAAATCCTAAGACCTAATGACGCGTTTCCTCGAGCTTCACCTAGGCACATCAGTATTCGTCAGTATTCGCGGGCAGTAAATAAATAAATAATTACGTGTTGGATTCCATTATTAATAAAAAATAAGAGAAAATATTCACAAATAATACACAACAAAAAGAACAAAACAAAACAAAAGCTAATCTAAATACCTAATCTCACTTCATCACAAATCGAAAGTTTTATAAAACAGCAAAACGCATCCGACACCATGAAAGTACATAATCGAACTGACAAAAACTAGGCCCTATGCTCCATATATACTTATCCAGAGTCTCTAGGACCACATTGCACTACATAGTGCAGAGGTTCTCAAATTTATTTATTTGTTGATTGCCGGCCACTTTATATATACTTTTATATTCTCTTCAAATGTATAATATGTATTAGTATAAGAGAGTGTGTTGGAGTGAGTGGTGTTGGGGAGTATTATGGATTTCTCAGTTGGTTATTATGGAGATTGTAATAAAACAGGTAATTGGATAAATAAATAATTCATAATATACCGTTCCGTATATCGTGAAAAGATCAAATGCAATGAAAAACCAAAAGAAGAACAGTGACAGGAACATTTAAAAGTATATAAACAAATAATAACAAGGAAGTTTTAATATCCCACAAGTGGACTGCAGTGCGTTGATGATGATATATTAATAATTACAGTATAACGAGTGAGAAGCAATAAATAAAAATAAGATAACTGACATAGAAATCGTTACGCACTCATCTTAATTAAAGGTAATTTTAACAACTAAATATCGTTTTTTTTTTTTTATTGAGGAGTGTGATTGAGCGCACCACCGCAGCACAAAAGATGCGATGCATATTTAAGTAAGTATAACAAACCAACATCTTACCAGTATCCTATTGCACATTAGATGGCGGGCCATTACAGATGCACCAGAAGTATTCCTACCGCACAATAGATGGCGCAAACGCAGCGAGAAAGGCACAGGCGTACAACGCGATATAGTTTCGTCTGACAATCCAATAAGTCAATAGAAGTTGAAAAGAAACCTACGGTTTAGGTTTAGGTTTAGGTTTAGGTTTAGGTTTAGGTTTAGGTTTAGGTTTAGGTTTAGGTTTAGGTTTAGGTTTAGGTTTAGGTTTAGGTTTAGGTTTAGGTTTAGGTTTAGGTTTAGGTTTAGGTTTAGGTTTAGGTTTAGGTTTAGGTTTAGGTTTAGGTTTAGGTTTAGGTTTAGGTTTAGGTTTAGGTTTAGGTTTAGGTTTAGGTTTAGGTTTAGGTTTAGGTTTAGGTTTAGGTTTAGGTTTAGGTTTAGGTTTAGGTTTAGGTTTAGGTTTAGGTTTAGGTTTAGGTTTAGGTTTAGGTTTAGGTTTAGGTTTAGGTTTAGGTTTAGGTTTAGGTTTAGGTTTAGGTTTAGGTTTAGGTTTAGGTTTAGGTTTAGGTTTAGGTTTAGGTTTAGGTTTAGGTTTAGGTTTAGGTTTAGGTTTAGGTTTAGGTTTAGGTTTAGGTTTAGGTTTAGGTTTAGGTTTAGGTTTAGGTTTAGGTTTAGGTTTAGGTTTAGGTTTAGGTTTAGGTTTAGGTTTAGGTTTAGGTTTAGGTTTAGGTTTAGGTTTAGGTTTAGGTTTAGGTTTAGGTTTAGGTTTAGGTTTAGGTTTAGGTTTAGGTTTAGGTTTAGGTTTAGGTTTAGGTTTAGGTTTAGGTTTAGGTTTAGGTTTAGGTTTAGGTTTAGGTTTAGGTTTAGGTTTAGGTTTAGGTTTAGGTTTAGGTTTAGGTTTAGGTTTAGGTTTAGGTTTAGGTTTAGGTTTAGGTTTAGGTTTAGGTTTAGGTTTAGGTTTAGGTTTAGGTTTAGGTTTAGGTTTAGGTTTAGGTTTAGGTTTAGGTTTAGGTTTAGGTTTAGGTTTAGGTTTAGGTTTAGGTTTAGGTTTAGGTTTAGGTTTAGGTTTAGGTTTAGGTTTAGGTTTAGGTTTAGGTTTAGGTTTAGGTTTAGGTTTAGGTTTAGGTTTAGGTTTAGGTTTAGGTTTAGGTTTAGGTTTAGGTTTAGGTTTAGGTTTAGGTTTAGGTTTAGGTTTAGGTTTAGGTTTAGGTTTAGGTTTAGGTTTAGGTTTAGGTTTAGGTTTAGGTTTAGGTTTAGGTTTAGGTTTAGGTTTAGGTTTAGGTTTAGGTTTAGGTTTAGGTTTAGGTTTAGGTTTAGGTTTAGGTTTAGGTTTAGGTTTAGGTTTAGGTTTAGGTTTAGGTTTAGGTTTAGGTTTAGGTTTAGGTTTAGGTTTAGGTTTAGGTTTAGGTTTAGGTTTAGGTTTAGGTTTAGGTTTAGGTTTAGGTTTAGGTTTAGGTTTAGGTTTAGGTTTAGGTTTAGGTTTAGGTTTAGGTTTAGGTTTAGGTTTAGGTTTAGGTTTAGGGTTAGGTTTAGGTTTAGGTTTAGGTTAGGTTAGGTTAGGTTAGGTTAGGTTGGGGCGTGGGTCGGGCAACCTCCTAGTATGGGCCTGCCATTGGGAGGCTTCCCCATCCTCGTGGATACGTCCGCGGGGAACGGTGGCTGAGCAATGGTTTGGTTCTGGTACGCCCCGGGCGGGATAGTAGTCGTTCCTTCGGGATACGGCTACTATGTCGGCCAGTAGCCCGGCAGGTTGGGCGGGTTGCGGATTCCTATGCCTCGACAAAAGTCGAGGATCCCGGAGTCAGGAACCCGCCCAACTTCTTGTTTTAGTCTTCGTTTTGTTTGTTTCTTCTTTTGTTTTGGTTTGTTTTTTCTCCCCTTTTGTTTTTGTTTTAATTTATTTTGGTTTTAGTTTGTCTTAGGTTTTTCTCTGTCTTTGTCTGTCTTTTGTCTTTTCTGTCCTTTTTGGTTTCTTTC